TGCCAATTAATTCTGTTCCAGTGAGATTTTAAATATAGGCAAAGAATGGGAAAGGGGTTTTTTTTTTTTTTTTTTGGTACCAGAGGAACTCTGGGTGTTTTTTTAAAGCCAATTCCAAGAAAAAAAAGTCCAGAAATCAAAATAGAAGATTTGGCAAGTTTTCCTTCCTATGTAGGAAAATCTGGAAAGTTTAATCCCCGTGTACCTTCTAAACATGCATGCTTTTTTTTTTCTCAAACTGCCCCATCCACGTAATAAATCACCTGGGTCTCCACGTCGGTCAGTTTTCGAGTCTGCTCAGCTGTTTGGCTCAAAAGGCTGGTGCCAATCTCCAATATGGCCGCCGTTTGGTTCTGTACCACGTTCTGTTGGATGTGGGCCATCTCAGTCTTGATGTTCATCTGGATGAAGTTCTCCAGCTGAAGAGAAAGCAGCCAGGTCAAATACACATACACACATACATACACATACATTACATACACACAGATACATACATAGAAATAGAGAGAGAGAGAATAGACAGACATAGATGATAAATAGTGGATGGATGGATGGATGGATGGATGGATGGATGGATGGATGATGGACGGATGGATGGATGGATGATGGACGGACAGATGGATGGATGATGGACGGATGGATATAGAAATGTGATGAGAGATGGATAGAGTATGTGGTTGGATAGAAAGAGAGAGCGGGAGAGAGAGAGAGAATAGACAGACAGACATAGATGATAAATAGTGGATGGATGGATGGATGGATGGATGGATGGATGGATGGATGATGGACGGATGGATGGATGGATGGATGGATGGATGATGGATGGACGGACGGACGGACGGACAGATAGATGGATGGATGGATGGATGGGTGGATGGATGGATATAGAAATGTGATGAGAGATGGATAGAGTATGTGGTTCGATAGAAAGAGAGAGTGGGAGAGAGAGAGAATAGACAGACAGACATAGATGATAAATAGTGGATAGATGGATGGATATAGAGTGTGATGAGAGATGGATAGAGTATGTGGTTGGAGAGAGAGAGAGAGGGAGGGAGGGAGGGAGGGAGGGAGCGATGGAGAGAGAGAGAGAGGAGAGAGAGAGAGAGAGAGAGAGAGAGAGAGAGAGAGAGAGAGAGAGAGAGAGAGAGAGAGAGAGAGTCAAATAGACAGAGAATAAGTGTGGAATTTCTGAATCTCCTGGGCAAAACAACACAAGGGCTGTGTAAAATCCCTATGGGGTATCTCTGACCTCCCCTCTGCCCCATTGCCCAACAGCCTGAAAATGTCTGCAGGACGTCCCTTGGGGAATCCAGCAGCAACAGCCAAATTTTTTTTTTTAAAAAAAACCGCCGAATGCTTTTAGGACCACGTAAGAAGAACAAACATGCTTTTTCGTAAGTCGCTTTTCTCTTGGCAAAAGCCCCGCTTGGAGAGTGCCAGTTTTAATCAAGTCCTGGCTGCGGAACCCGTTGGAGCAATGGGAATCGCAGCGTCCTCCCTCTTTGCTTTCCTTCTGGACGACTAATTGGACAAATTCTTCGCTCCGCGGATCTCCCTCCGTTTGGACGCCGGGGAGCCCCTGGCTGCGAGCAAAATGGTTCAAAGTTCAAAGAAAGAGAACATCCTGTATTTGGAGCCGCGGCTGTGGCACAGAACGGACATCGGCTCTGCCTTCCGTCCTTGTTGGGCAAAATTTTGCCAGCCGGACTCAAAAGCTGGGACGGTTAAGTGAGTCACTGCAGCGGATAAGTTGTCACCCGGTTGTTAAGTGAATCTGGCTTCCCCATGGACTTTTGCTTCTCAGAAGATCACAAGAGGGGACTGCGTGACCCCTGGGGACACCGTGTCCGTCGCAAATGTGAGTCAGTTGCCAAGTGCCCGTCGTCAATATGAATCGGTGGCCAAGCATCCCCATTTCGATCACGGGGCCGTGGGGAGGCCACAAAGGTTATAACTGTGAAAAACGATCCTACGTCACTTTTTTTTTCATGGGTGTTATAATTTTGAACGGTCACTAAATGAACGGTTGTAAATCGAGGACCACCCTGCGTTTGTTTATTAAATATATTTGTTACCTGGCTCGCTATTCAGAATGACTCAGGGAGACGCCAGGAGGGCATGGAAGCTTCTGCAGAGGGATGGCTTTGTACTAGCCCATCCCAATCATAATAAATTAACATTTATTTGAATGGAAAACCAGAAAGAAGGAGATCCAATTTGGTCTGGCAACTGGGTGACTGTGAGCCAATCGCCAGGAGATGGTGAGTTCTAGTCCCGCCTTAGGAATGGAAGCCAGCTGGGTGACTTTGGGCCAATCACCAGGAGACGGTGAGTTCTAGTCCCACCTAAAGCATGAAAGCCAACTGGGTGACTATGAGCCAATCGCCAGGAGATGGTGAGTTCTAGTCCCACCTTAGGCATGAAAGCCAGCTGGGTGACTTTGGGCCAATCACCAGGAGACGGGGAGTTCTAGTCCCGCCTTAGGCATGGAAGCCAGCTGGGTGACTTTGGGCCAATCACCAGGAGATGGTGAGTTCTAGTCCCGCCTTAGGCACGGAAGCCAGCTGGGTGACTTTGGGCCAATCACCAGGAGACGGTGAGTTCTAGTTCCGCCTTACGCACGAAAGCCGGCTGGGTGACTTTGGGCCAATCACCAGGAGACGGTGAGTTCTAGTCCCACCTTAGGCATGAAAGCCAGCTGGGTGACTTTGGGCCAATCGCCAGGAGACG